CTAAGGGAGAGTTCCTAGGTGTCGCCCAGCCCCAACCTGACTACCAAAACCGAGGTTCCCTTTCTCTGCAAGGGCTGCATGTTGAAGTGAGTTTAGTGTGAGGCATGCACAGTCATTCAGCATGCACACTCGGTGTCCCAACCCGACACAGCCAGTGGGGGGGAATGTGCCCAAGAGGTGCGCACACCTGCCCAGTGATGGATTTCTGTGCTGGTGGGGGTGGGAGAAGGTTAGGTGAGAAAACCAAATTCCCCAGGGAAGGACCAAACTGATTTCATTGTAGGGTAATCTGCTCCCCACCCCAGGGATCAATTTCAAATCAGTGAGTAAGAGAAGGCTCGTTTGTCATGGAGGAGTGAGCAGGGCATGCAAAGTGGGCTGTCCCCTTGGGGAGCTGTATCATTTGGTGGGTGCTGGTTTGGTTACCTACGTGACAGGGAACCTGGACTCTGGTTCATTTCAGTTATCCCATGAGACCTGCTCAATAACGGACTGTCAAAGGAAAAAGCAAAATAAAGAAGAAAAAACAGAAAACAAGAAGCACATAAATCCTAATTGCATTGACGTAGCCACAGCCCCGGCACCCCTCCTTAGCTGAACAAGCAGACAGCATGCCCATCTGTCCGGCTGTATCCTCCATCCCAAATAAACACAGACACAGAGGGGATGACAAAATAAGCAGCTGAGGTGAAGTGGGGAAGGGAAACGTAGAGACCATTTGCAAACCAGCACCTCAGCTGCACCCTTTGATATGCACAGGTACTAGCTGCACACGAGGGAGATCTGTGCACACAAACTGGGCCTGTATGCACAAGCACAGGACTGTGCAGGTGCAAACCTGTGCAGTGTACACACTGGGGGCACCCGGGCACTAGGCTCCAGCAGCTTAATCACCACCGGTTGAAATGGAAGCCATGGTCAGAGCTTGGCCAGTGACTCTTGGCTCCACTGTGTTGGGAGAGGATGGAGCTAGAATTCTTCTCACTCTGCTACAGCAGCCCAGTTTCATCAGCACAAGATGCTCAGTATCAGTGGGGAGAGGGGAGGCCAGTCTTATCTAAGCGGAGAGATCTTGTGAGAGAGAGCCTGGGACACTCCACTTAGGCTGACAGGGAACTTCTCCATTCGCCCTTCCCATTCAAGTGGGGTGCTTGTGGTGCCATGAAGAGGATTAAAGCCCTCAGCTGGCAGGCCACACACAGCTACAATGGGATTTGGGACATGCAGCAAGTACAGCACAGCCAGGCTGTAAAGCCCTGAGAACCACCGGGCCATCAGCCTCCCCAGGTAAAAGAAAATGACAGGTTAAATGTAGCCTCGCTCCAGGTACAGCCCAAAAAGGCTGCAGTGAATTACACTGTATTACCCCTGAGATGCCCATCACAATAGTACCAGGCACACTTAAACCAAACCTCAACACAAAAGTGGGGAGCAAATGCCAGAAAGGACCCTCCTGGGAAACGCCTGAGAACTGGGGTGAGCTCCCTGTTTCCGATCGCAGCCCCAGTAGCTGTGGAGGTCAGTGTCACGCCTAGATTTCAGCAGCATAGGGCCTCAGGAAGAGGCCAGGGGGCCAGAGAGCACCAGTGCTCAAAGCACTCCTCAAAGCACTGCAGGCTGGGAAGTCACTGCTTTATTCCCCTGCATCACAGCAGAATGGGGGGATTCCCTCTGACTGAACACCAAAGAGGGGGGGAGGCAAAAAGAGCATGGCTCAATCCCATAATATTCTGGGTAACTCAGTTAACCCCATCATGAACCCTCTCCTGCAATCATGTTGTGAGTGAGGAGGGGCTGAGGCTGTCTTGACACCCCACCTATGTGACTCCACTTCCAAGGGCCTGGCCAGTTCAGCAACTGCTCTAGGCAGGGCAATTTTTCCCTCCAGCACTACATGCTGATGCAAGCACAAAGACCAGCAGTAGGGATGGAAAAAATCCTCCTGGCTCATCCCCCTGCCAACCAGCCTCAGTTTCCTCTTGGCAGTCTCCTCTACAATTCCCAATGGAGCTGCGTGGAGCATTCGCGTCACCTGGGCAGAGAAACACACTCACCTTTGACCTGATATTCCTTAGTTGCCGGCTAACACTGGATCGGTCTTTCTTCAAGAAGTCGGGGTTGCTTTTTGATTTCATGATGTCTGTGGAGATCAAAGGGAACAGCATGAGCCTTCTGCTTACAGCCCTGCGGCTGCAGAGTCCTGACTCCATCCCAAGGGAGAGCAAAGGTTGAGCGGTTCCGGCTCATCCTGTGGAGCTGACTCAGCAGAGGGCAGCCATAGCCCTACAGAGCCACAGGGACAGCACAAGCTTAGCATGGCCTCACCCAGTTACTGCATGAGGCAAGAGGCCCCCATAATGCAAAGTAACATCCCTGAGGCTATGTGTACACTGCTGTTTTTTTCCCCCAGCAGAAGATACGCAAATTGCGCTCTCATTTGCATATCTTTTGCAGATCCTTCTTGCAGAAGAGGTTTTGCTGCTAAGCAGAGCCACAGGGACAGCACAAGCTTAGCATGGCCTCACCCAGTTACTGCATGAGGCAAGAGGCCCCCATAATGCAAAGTAACATCCCTGAGGCTATGTGTACACTGCTGTTTTTTTCCCCCAGCAGAAGATACGCAAATTGCGCTCTCATTTGCATATCTTTTGCAGATCCTTCTTGCAGAAGAGGTTTTGCTGCTAAAAAGCCCCGTGTAGACAGGGCCATTTGTTGGGAAAAAAAACTTGCACAAGATCCCTTATTCCTCAAAAAATTAAGCTTAGAGGATCTTGCGAAAAAGGGTTTTTTTCCCCAACAAATGGCCCCGTCTACACGGGACTTTTTAGTGGCAAAACCTCTTCTGCAAAAAGGATCGGCAGAAGATATGCAAATGAGTGCGCAATCTGCATATCTTTTGCCCCCCCCCAAAGGCAGTGTAGACATAGCCTGAATGACTGGGACAAAGGTGGTTTCCAAAGACCCGGGAGAAACTTTCCATCCCTAAGCCAGAAGGAGGAAGAGCCACTAGAGGTGAGAGGCCCATTAAATCCTTGGCCTCTCTTCAAGGGGACAGGAACAGGGAAGGTCAGGAACAGGGAGGAGGTTGCAGTGGGGAGACCTGCCTGTTATTAAGGAACTAGACACGGATCCTGCCCCCACGTCAACACTGACAGGTCACCCAACAGCTCTTTTAGATGGTAACTTATCATGGCCAACCTAGGCCACATTCCAGTAAATAATCTGGAGCTGAACAGCTTTTAGCCTCATGAACAACCTCCTGGGCCAGGCAGCCCATGCTCCAGCTTCACTTTATGCACAACCTGGGCCGTATTCTTCTCTGGTATTGCTCCAATATATTAAGTGGTGCGATAGGCCGGAGGAATGCTCCATGTGTTAGAATCTCCCAACTCACCGTGGCTGCATCAGAGCTCCTGTACAACCCTACCATGCCCTGCCCTCAGTCCTCTAGATCTACACTGTCCCTGGAAGGTCGGGTTAAGGTACGTAACTCCAGCTATGTAAAATACATAGCTAGAGTGCGTTTACCTTAAGCCCAGCTTGGCTCCATCTTCACAGTGGGGAGCAAACACTCCTGACAGCTTCCCTTGGCAAACACTCCTGACAGCTTCCCTTGGCACCAACCAGAGCCACCCATACCATTTGATTTAGCGGGTCTTAACTAGACCTGCTAAATTGAACACCAGAAGATCGATCTCCGGTGCCTCAGTGGAGACATGGCCTTTATCACACTAGAGCTGGTACTGCCCACTGCATGCCCTGGGGGCGGGAATGAGGCTGCTCAGCACAGCAGAGAAACTGACCATATCCCGACACAGTGGTATTCTCAGGGGATTTCTCGCCCAGTGCTTCGGTGGCTGCCTTTAGCTGCTCTTTCAACCTGCTGATGTCGCAGTCTGCCTTGGCCTTCACGATGCTCAGCTCCGTGTAGATGTCTTTGTACTTGTCACTGGCATATTTCTTATCCTGGGAAAGGAACAAGGAAAACCCACAGAGAAAAACAGTCACATGGAACCAGTAAGTTTATGTGCTTCTTACAACACAAGGAAACAGCATTTTGGGATAGACTCAGGAACTCCAGCACTTCTTGTTTATCACTATGCTACATGCTAAAAGCTTTTCTGTATGTGCTGTCCCCAGGACTCAGATCATCCTGCTAAAACCTATTGCTAACCCATGCATGCTAAAAGGAGAGTTCCTTTTGGCTAAGGGCTACATTGGATCCAGGACATACAGCTGGACAGTTCTGATTCCATCCAGTAGAGAGCAGTGCTACACGGGTGGCAGGTTTGTATAATTTTTGGTGGTGCCCAGAATAGTCTAGTCTGTCCCTCCTCCACACCACGTAAGCCAACATATATTTTATTAAATCATGTAAAAATGGACTGGAAACCCTAAGCTTTTAACAGTCTCCCTTTATTGCACAATATCACTATCGTAAGAAAAATATATTTAACTAAGAATATCAACGTTATTAATACTCTTTTGAATATGGAACAAACCCATTGTGGATTCCACTGTGCATCAAATGGATATTATATTTTGTTGTACCTGTTGTGACGAAGTGGGAATGTTCTTAACGTTTTCTCTGATGGACACATGACCAAAAGTAAAGTCCCCTCTCTAAGGACTTTTCCCACCATCCTCCTACAAATAGGGATTAGTGTGGCCCTCCCCACACTCCCCTCATGCAACTATCCTGCAATTGCATTAACCCACTGTGTGTGACATTAACTCGGGGGCAGAGAGGCTGGGGGAAGTGTTCCCTCTAAGAGTTTCCTTCCATGAGCAAAATACATTTTGTGTTGTGCACCAGTACTGAGTTCGTGTGTCTTGTTTGGATGTGCCACTGTGGCACCCAAGTTATTAATAAATATCTTCTAAACCTCTACCCTTTCCCTCTGCTGCCATGTCTCCTCCCCTTGGTCCATCAGCTCCCCTGGTACCTGCTGCCCCCAACCCCTCACCCTCCTCTGCTGTCCTGACTCGGACTCCTGCTCTTCTCACTGCCCTCAGCCCTCCTGAGACCTGCCCCCCTCTACCAGCCCTTCATCCCACCCCGTGCCCACTCCTCTAGTAGCCCCACTCTGATCATGTGAGCTACCCATCTTTATCCCCTCTCCTAAATCCTCCCTCTAATGTGCAAGCACCTAAACTCCTTAGCCACCTACATTTCCAATGGTGTCTACATTTCAGAGTGCATACATTTCAGTGGCTGGGCTCAGCCACCAGACTCATGACACTGACAGTTCCTCAGCACCTAAATCCCAGTGGGATTCACACATGACATGTTCTCTCACCTGTCTTGTCTTCCAGGCCTGATCTTGTAGGGATCTCAGAGCATGCCTAAATTCACACAAAAGCATAGGCATGCACAGCACATTTCATTAGGGTGTGCACCCAAAGAAGTTTTTTAAATGTACTCTTTGACCCCCATTAGCCACACCTCTGGTGGTAACATTCTCAGGACAAGATGGACACATGACCAGAAGTAAAAGGTGTCATGTGATCCCCCTCTAAGGACTTTTCCCACCATCCTCCTACCAATAGGGATGAGTTTGACCCCCACCAAACCTCCCTCATGAAACTATCCTGCAGTTGCATTAACCCAATGTGTGTTGCATTAACTCAGGGGGAGGCAGAGAGACTGGGTACCTTGGTACCTTCCCCTTTCTTCTCCTGTCCTACCCCCTCCCCTCAGCATAAGCCCCTTACTCTCTCATCTCCCTTCCCCCCCTCACCTTCTGCCTTCCAGTTTGCGGGGCTGGAGTCTGTGGTCAGGCCCCAGAAGTCCCCACAGCCCAGGCCCCAGCTGCTTCCGAGGCCAGACCACTTGCCGGGCCTGGAGCTGAGCCATGCGGTTTTAAAGTCCCAGGCCGTGACGTCATGCCATGCCCGGGCGTCTCCCCTGTCAGCTCTTGCGCAGCGTTTCAGCACGCTGCGCATGCGCAGCTTTCATTCCGGCAGGGACGCTCCGGGGCTTGGAGGGGGGAGGGAGGGGATGCTCTGGGGCCAGGCGGGGAGGCCAGCAGGGGAGGGCCAGGGCCCGCTCCAACCAGGGCTGGGGGAGAGACCCAGCTCCAAATATTGGTGGAGCAGGGCCCCCAGCTCTGAATATTCCTGGAACATGGGTACCACGATCCCATATAACTCACTGCCTATGGTGCTACACATTCACACCAGTTAATTTATTGCAGAATGTATTGTTTGTGGCTTTCTGTTTAAATCAGGAAAATGGCATGGAACTAAAATGTTGAGAACATGCTTCAGCAAATTAATCTCTTATGCTATTCGCAGGGTTTGTGTATTTAACACAGGGCATTTAAAATCTGATGTCACAGAAAACTAGGACAAAACCATGTAAGGTCAAATCTTTCCAGGAAGAGACCAAAACAAATCCTGGTTTGATGCTTCCAGAGACTTCATTTATAGCACAAAGTCAATAACCCACAAGTGGCCGTGTCAGTTAAGGCAGAGCAATGTTTAAATGCTGATTCAACTCTTAAAAATAGTTAGTTAACTCCCCCCTGAAAATGAGCAAACCCATACAGGACAGAGGGCGTTCAGAGACAGCCCTGCCCTAGGCATTACCCTCAGTGCAGTCTGCAGTTCATCCTTGAGGGAGCTGATCTCCTGCTTCAGATACTGAATTT